TACAAGATAACAAAATACAATATAACAAAATAAGGACACAATTAGCATGTGGTCAAGCCCGCACATGTAGAAATACAGGCTTGGCAATATATATATTTTTAAATATAATTTGATCCTAATTTTTAGAGAATATATAATCTTCAGCATAGAGATCATGAATATGAAAAATAAATAAATTTTAAAAGTTAAAAATAATAATTATATTAAATAAACATTATACCTCTAGACCGCCTAATTGTATCCATCTTTAAGATAAATGCATTATACCTCTGGACCGCATATTGTAGAAATGACGTCCAGCCGGCATAGAAGCTTGGAGTGTTTTTAAAACCCTCTCAAGCAAAATCCTATTGTGAAGTCTTTTTAAAACCCTGAACTATGGGATTGTAACCTCCACAACTCAGCCACTAGCCTCAACAAGAAAAAAAAGGGGCAAATTCATTTTATGTGCTTAAAAAGTGGGTTTCAAGATTGGATCTATGTCATCCCAAAACTAGCTCAATGTATTTCTATTAGAATCAATGTTCCAGATCAGATATCACCGAATTTTAAAACATTGATTGCAATTCATCTCAAATATCCTAACTTAAAAATTGTCCAATCCAACAACCCTCTTCCCCCGCCCCTACTATTAAACTACATATCCATTATGGACTATTTTTATGCAATTTTATTAGGAAAAGTATACAACGGAATTGTTTACTTTTGATACAAAGAAGTCATAGTCATTTTTCCGCGTTAGATTTCAAATCGAGTGGATCTAACAGCGCTATTGACTAGACTTAGCATTCAAAAAATCATTGGCCAGCCTCAAAATCTAATTTAATATTTTAAACAGCTTAGAATTTAGAGTTCTTGGTTCGGAACTTAAGTTCTTAATTGATTACTTAAACTTCTAGTTGAACATTTTTTTTAGTAGATACATGCTCTTAGCAAATATTCATATCGCCAAAATCCTGCTATAATATGTTCTTCCATGACCGATGGAGATGGTCTTCCCTTAATATCGTGCAAATTTGGAAGTGGCCAATACCACATAAAATACAAGTCTTTATCTGGCTAGCCTCGCAAGACAAAATCTTGACCGTTGATAATTTGCAAAAAATGGGTAAGTTTTTACCTAATATTTGCTTGCTTAGTAAAAAAGATGGGGAGTCAGTTGACCACTTGCTTATTCATTGTCCCTTTATTCTGAGGATTTGGTAATGGCTAATTGGCGAAGTAGGATTCTCACTAGTATTGCCTCAAAGGGTGGTTGGGATAGTCTCGCAATTCGGTATTCTTTCTCTCCTCGTGGTAGGAAGTACGATTTGGAAAATAACAAAAGAATGATACTTTGGGAAGTTTGGAAGGAGAGAAACAGAAGGACCTTTGAAGATATGGCAATGTCAGTTGATAAGCTTATTCATTTAATTAAGCTTTCAATTTAGTCTTCTCTGTCTGTGGCTAATGAGGGTGGGGTATCACTAAGGTTGATGTCATTATAAATTTGTCAAACCTTTTCTCTATGGGTTTTAAATCCAACAGGCCTCAAGGATTGTGGCATGCTCCACCTCTGGGCAATTTAAAGTTAAACTTCGATGGCAATTTTTTGGGGAATCCGGGACCATCAGGTATTGAGGGCATTGTACGTGATTGTTGTGAGAATGTTTTGTTTACATATGTGGGCCCAATCGGTGTTGTCACGACTAATTGTGCGGAACTTACTACTTTGCTAAAGGGAGTGGAAAGTTTCATTGGGAGGAATTTGGGTACAAACTTACTGATTGAAGGGGATTCTTTAAATGCTATCAGATGGTGCAAGAAGGAACGGAAGATACTGTGGGAATTACAGTCTTTATGGTTACATATCTTGGATGCGGTTGCCAATTTATCCGTTTTTTTTCTCATATTTATCGAGAAGCAAATAGTATCGCTGATGCGATGGCTAAAGGTGGTTCGTATCTTTCTTCTTTTACTATTTCTGATGATGTAATCTCCTTTTAACCTATTAATAAAGAGATTGAATATTGATCAAAAAAAAAAAAAAAACAAAGCTTAGAAATGAAATACCCTAGTTTGGAATTTGGAATTTCGAAAAGAAGCCAAATTAGAAAAAATAAAAAACCTAAAAATCACCATGCCGGTAAAGTGCAAATATGTCTAATACTACAAATAACTTCCTTTATTTTTATGCAAATAACTTCCTTTATTTTTATGGAAGTCGGAACATTCTTTAATCCATTGGGCTTTCGAACCTAACATGTGCTTCATTAACTCATACCCACTTAGGAATGGACTCAAGGCTAACTGGTCAAGTTAACAAGGTACCACAATATGATGTCTTGTGTTCCATTTCTATTCGGATAAAGACCTCTTCCCCACTGAACTACCCAAAAAAACTTGGAATCCCACTTGACCCTAACATGCCACCTTTAATATTTCCGACCTGACCTACATGTACGAGGCCTGACATACAGCAACATTTCCTTGAGAAATCAAACTCTGGAAGTATTTAACCATTAGTCATCTAGTCATATGGCATGAGCGGCAGGGGCATTGATCGTATGTATGACATTGGCCACAAGGCATGAGCCGCAGGGCATTGATCGTATGTATGACATTGGCCACAAGGAATGAGCCGCAGGGCATTGATCGTATGTATGACATTGGCCAAAGGCATGAGCCATCGATGTTAGATTTTTAAGTATGGGTGCAATTTATATAGAGCCGAAGCTCTAAACAATCAAAGTAAAGCGCACCTTCAAATAGCGTCAAGAAATATGGTTTCAATATTGAAAATATTTGTAATAGTTTTATAATATATTTTCATGTTTAATTATAAATTTTAAAGCTTCAAAAATAGTGTAGATCGAGTAGATCTATGAAAATTTAAAAATCTTGAAAATTGACGGTCCAAAAATGCGTCACAAGATGCACTATTTCCCAAACTTGAAATCCATTCTTTTCTCATGCCTATGCATCATGATGTCGAAATGATCGATTTGAAGATAGTTGAACACCAGAACAACTTCTTCTAGTGAATTTTTGAATTGGGCTCTAATCTGATTGTTTAGAGCCTCTGCTCTATACAAAGTATTAACTCTTAGATATTGACCCTTAAGTATTAGTTACTGCTTCTACAGCCGCTTAGTCATGGCTATAATAAGTCTCCATCATGCTATCATAAATGGATATTTACCTTTATTACAACAGATTCCCAAATATAGAATTGAAATGCAACGAAGGAGTCCAAACTTTTGCATCCAGCCCTTTTCCTATGACATCCAATTCAGTCCGAACCATGTATAACGATAAATACCCTCTAAGAAATTGGCTAATTTTTTTAATTATTAAAATCCTAAAACTTCTAAACCTGAATCATAGGGGACCATACCAGCCTAGCTAACCTTAATGGAACATAACAATTTTGTTAGGAACCTTATCTTATCCTTCTAGTAAATCTTTTCTAGAAACCTTATATGATTCTTACAGTCTAATTCAAGATAATTCTATTTTTTTTAAAAAAACTATTTTTAAAATAGACTTGGGCGTCTCTCTAACCTCAACGAAGAACGACCGTATAACAGAACCCTCTCCAGTTGTGCCGTATGCCCAAAGTAAGGGTTCTAAACTTAATACCAGCCCTAGACCACCCAAACCAGAAGATTCAACAAACAAAAATAAAATTACCATACAGGTCCTATACAGACATCACTCCACTACATGCTCTCCAGGCTTGCAAAGGCTACAGAACCCCAACAAGTGTGCCATTGAGTTTGGTTGTCTAGAATGGGTGTGCTGAGTCCTTTGGAGGTGATCTGAGAATCTATGTAAAGCAGTGCTGCCATGTTAAAAAAAGAAGGGTAACTATGCTTCCATGTTTACTTATTGATTTATGTTTTATGAAGCTTGTTTTGTTATTTTTGAGTTATAAAAGGCGTATGTAAGTAGACTAGCTGGCATAAAGACAGAAAGAGAAAATTTTTAAATATATAGACTGTGCTAGAACTAATAACCACATTGCTACCTTTAAATGGAGCATTTGAAGGCTTTCAGCATGTCCATTTTTCTTTCTTTTTGTTCTTTGTTTTGCTTTCTTATTTGGACATATTTTGCATGTAATGCTCATTCGAGTTTTCACTCTATCCATATCTTTTAAGGTCATGCGACTTAGACCAAAACGCGTAATGCCTTTTAAGGTACCATGTCTAATGTCTTTTATTCATGCAACTAAAACCAAGATCTATAATGCTTTTAAGGTCAGAAAACTAGGACATGTGCAAAATCTTTTAGGTCACTAGTACCAAGACCGACAGTTTAGCATTATGAGGTTATTAGACGATGTTTCGAAAAATTCTACACATTCAAGACATAGAATGGGGGGCACAGTTGGCATACCGATGCCTCCGTAGGTGTAGAGGTACGGTGCCCTTCAAATTTTACCATGGTATATAATTCTGATGTAAAATGTTATTAGGATTATCTCAAAATCTATTTTTATATCTAATTATAAAATTTTAAATTTCAAAAATGGTTAAAATCAAGTAGATCCATAAACATATGAAAATCTTGAAAATGAACGGTGTAAATAATATGTTGTAAAATGCACTATTTCTGACATTTAAAATCTTTTTATTTTTCATAGACATACATCTCGATGTCGAGATGATCCATCAAAGGGTTTTTCAACTGTAAAACTACCTTTTTCTATAGATTTTTGAGGGGCATCCGTAGTTCTACATTATAAGATAGCATCCTTATATAAACTTTTTCCTAGAATGGGCGACCATAACCAAGTTTTACCTCGAGTTCAAGCAGTTTAACATCATCTGATAAGATGTCATACAGGTTTAGGTTCATCCCATGGATCATAGAATACACGCTCCAAATAACATGTTTGCTAAAATGTGAAAGAAAATGCCAATTTTGATGATTACGTTGAACGATTAATATTGTTGGAAACAATAAAGGGTATTACACTAAATGGAAAAAGGAAAGCCCAATTTCAGGAAAGTAAAAGGGTAATACAAAATTCAATTTTGAAGAGGGAAGAATAAAGGGCGTTTGTAAGTTCAATTTTAGAAAGGAATCAAATGCAATAAATTTCAAACACATGCATCTTAAAAAGAGTCCGCATCTTCATCTGGCTCTTCAATCTGCACACTGCAGGCACCATCCCATCCTGACGCCATTCACCACAACTCTAAATGTATACAATTCAGACCAATGTGGAGGTTGGAGAGGGAAAGAGAGGAAAATTCCATTCACCACAACTCTAAATGTATACAATTCAGACCAATTTGTGGAGACTGGCGAGGGAAAGAGAGGAAAATGGCTACCAACAACCAAAATCCTCTCAAGAAAACAATGCCCCTTCCACATAAGGCATGGCTGCCTCTGTCCTTTTTCTCTCTAACCCCCAATATTTCCCAAGATCTGCACCCTCTCAAACCACACTCCGAGCCACCAAAGCGCGCGCAGCAAGCACCAATCATAAAGTACTACAACTTCTGTGTAAACTCGACAAACCAAGTCTTGTCAAGCACGCATTGCAATCACACCAAGCACTACAACTTCTGAGTAAACTCGCAACACCCAAGTGTTACAACTTCAGCATAACATCACATAGGTCCGACCAAAATGCAACCTAGCAGGGAGGACTCAAATTGGAGTAACAAATGCTACAAAAGCACTGGACTATATCCATGAGAATATGAAGATTCAGGAAAAGAATCACGACATGTACCCCCATGCGGCGCAAGAAAACCGTCATGAAGATCATCAGTACATTCTTAAGACTGCGCACAACTAAGCCAATGCGCTCGAGAAATCTGCAGCAATAAAGACGTCAAGGGGATGGAAGCCTTGCAGTTGGTCGTCAGATTTGTGAAGCTGTGATGTGGGGGCCTAATTCAGAACTTCCAACACATTCAAAGAGATGAGGAAGTCAACAAGCTCATTGATGTATCTTGAGCATGGTTCTAATTCCCTTTGTGGGTGATTCGTTTGTTTGTTATCTTTCTTTGCAGTGTGAGTAAAGATGTTGGTCTTTACCCATTGCAATAGTGGGAAAGCTCCAACACTATTTGCAGCCCGTATAGGTGCTTTTTTATAATTAACTCCATGTTTTTCTTGCTGGTTAAAGTGCTGTTGTTTTCTATGGCAATAAGGCTGCTAGTCAGAGATGTTATCATTGGGAACTTGTGAAATTGGACGAAAAATTGGACATTGGTCATGGTTGATTTATTATAAAATTCAAGGTTAGCATTAATAAGCAGCTCCATATTAGGTGTCTCTTCTCTTTCTTGTAGTGATTGTCTGAGAAAATAAAAAACAAAGAAACAACATCTAATGTTAAACAACATTATGACTCCATGAATGCTAGTTAACTATACATTCTTCTGTCCATTTCACAACATATGGGTCTCAACTATGTATTCAAGATCGTTGATTTGAGTTGAGATCTACTCTTAAGAAGCGATGGTTAGTTATACACCGGCACATCAACTCTCTTATGCTTTCAGGTGCACATCAAATGTTCTGCATGACATCTAGATTCCAAAATCATTTGAGAAATGAATTCTTAAAACTAAGATTAAGATCTTGAAGGATCGTCTGCTGTACTCTGGTCCTCTGAATCAATCTTCTCACAGTATATATTCCAAGCCATACAACAATAGGCCCATTCCCGCCTACTAGTGGCCCCACAACAGTTGACAAGTTTCACAAGATATTTTAATATATGTTACAAAGTCATGCTGATAATGCAAGTAGTCCAACTCTTTCCAAATATAACTCTTGCATTCCCTCTAGGGAAATCTATAGGCATATCTACCCCAAAGAAAATAGTTACCAAGCTTATAAATATTGAAATGCATAGAAAATTGAATTTTATTTAAAAATACCCATTTCACAAATGTTTAAAATTAAAAAAATCTATCATTTTAAAGATATAACTTGTTTTTCACACTTTAATGGTAGAAAATACTGCAATATTAACAGCACGTTCAAAATAACATGCATACACTTTCATATCAAAAGTCGAACGCATCATTTAAGAACACCCTGCATTGCTCGATTCAACTCACATAAAATTCATGAGAAATTGGTTCAAAACTAATTTTAAGAAATATGAAGTACTTTTAATTTGCATATAATTAATTCCTGCAGATGGAACAAAGGCAAGGCCCACCGCTGTACAATCTAAAATTTCATAAAGCAAACAAAAATGACCACGACCCACTCACAAGGCCATGACCATTGCAGCTGGGCAGATTCAAGATAGCATATCTGAATTGTCCCATTTATCCCATGGCCTTTGGAGCATTAGGTTGACACAATTTGCTGCATGAGGTCAGTGCTTGCCTCTTGGAAGTCTATCCCTCATGTAACCAAGCTAAACTATGGAGGAAAATGAACCGGCAAACTATTTGGGGATGCAAGATATTGAAACTAGAAAAGAAATTGTGGATGGCCTGAGAATTCAAAAACCTTTGGGAAAGGTTGTTTTGAAAAGCTAATGACTCTCAGGTTGTCAGGCGAGATTATTATGAAAGGTGAAGCTAAAAATGCGGTCATTCGACAAAATAAATTAAATCATTAGAGGGAAAGACTATCATTAAACGAAAAGGAAGTCATTAGGCAAATTGAATTGCTCACTAAATAAGTTAAACCTCAAAAGAAAAATAAATAATGAAAGCACAATTTCAGTTTAAGCCTGCATTAAATTTGAAAGCCTAATCTTAAGTCCTTCCCTGTCATTAATTAGAGAAATGGACTACCACCCATTCGAAGCTGAACCACTAACTTAATTGCCTTCTTGCTAGAAAATACAAACAAAATAAAATAATAACAATAATAATAATAATAGAGTAGCATGCAGTGCAGATACTTAGCGAACCAAGACAGAATAATAGAAAGAAAATATACCAAATACTGTAACATAAACAGAACATTATCGAAACACTGGTTTTACATAATAGATGAACCCCACAACTACAATATCAACATTTAAGGGGATCAAAGTAAGCATTCATTGATTAAATGGTAAGCATTCATTGATTAAATGGGTGGGTTACAATGCCTGCTTCTAAGTTAGTATGCTTAAATATTATAGAGAAAATGACGGTTGGAGGTTCAACTAACAGAATGCAGGTCCATCTGTTTGGTCAACCTCGATTTTCGCCTTCTTTTACCTTCTGGTGTGCACTTGACTCTTCCAGTGTTAAGAGAAGACTTGGAGTTAGAGTGAGAAAACGTACCAGATGAGGTGACTTCTTGAAAGGATGAACTAGTGAGAGAGGCTTCATTAGCCTGGTTCTGATATCCCTTGCCTAAGGGAGACTTCAATCTCTTCAATGACATGCCGTGCTTGCCAGCCAAGGAAGGGGCCTTATAACTCAGCATTTCCTCATGCTTTTTACAACTACTAAGAAGCCTCACATAGAAGGGATTGGCTGCACTAAAACAAAAAGCTGCACCATTTGATGAAACTTTGTCTAGAACAACGTTCCCATTGTTTACCTGGGAAAGAGAACAGAATGTTACAAAAGGGGAAATAAGAGGCGAATTCATATCCAGCCAAACTACATGGCACTCCCAAGCTACATCCACAGATCTACTATCGCTTCCAACTGATGGATAGTTAAGGATTAACAGGATTGGGACCACATTCAGAACAGTTGGATGTGGCTCAGAGTACAATATAGCAATGCCTGTCAAACTGAAGTATACTTTCCCAAGCAATGCAACAAAATTGCTACCTGTGCAAGCATTTAACTAGCAGCTATTTAACAAAGGAGGAAATATGGAAAATTTATAATCCAGATGATCATTTAAATGACCTCATTATCCACAAAACTATCAAATTCTTAAGCAAATCGACTGCTAAGATCACTAATTACAGGAAATCACAAAGAAAACAATTACCAGTTGGAGGAGAGCAGAGAAGCTCCTTGCAACCTCATGCTTCTCTTGGCCCCCAACAATATCAGTGAAGGGCAAACCACTGTTCCTCTTAGGGTCTAAGGACAGCTTCTCAATAAGTCTCTCACCATAAGCATGGATATCAAAAGGTGGGTGGGAATCCTGAACAGATAAAAGGATAACATCGCTGACTGCTAAGCAATTAGAGTTTTAACATGGGAAAGATAAGAGAGATAAAGAGAGGAGCATGGCTCCCCATTTTACTTGTTCTTCTAAGTTGTGTTCGATGTTCTGTTTCCATGTTGAGACACGGGCAGCCAATTCTGTTTGCTTTTCAGACTCTGCTATACTAGCAAGGAGGGCATCCTAAAATATAATTTTGAGGTCAGATTATCTTTTACGGCTGAAAAACAAATTAGCAGGAAGAAACAACTTCAAATACAACTTGCATGGATGATTTCACACCCATTCACCATGAGAAAGTGGCATGATCTCATAAATTAAACAGAAAAAATAGGAAAAGAAAAGAAAAAGCAGGAAGCCAAGGCAATTTTCTTTGAGGCTCTCATTTGAACATTAATGCTACTACCAATGTCACATGAGTGCTCTCTTTTCCATGTCTTTATTCGAAATATTCATGTCTGACCAAGTTTTCTATGCTAGTATTTCCCTCTTTAGTGCATTTAGCCCACACTCGATAGCTCTCATTTTTAA